AAGTATAATAGAAAGAAACTACATTAATGCAAATTGCTAATTGCCATGACATTTGGCTTACAACACAGTTTTTTCTCCTTTCATTTTGAACATATGTGTGTGGGAGCTTTAACCCATGGAGTGTAACAAGAGGATCTTGTTAAGTTAAATGTCTCATCTGTCAGTTAGAGTGCAGAAAAATGGAGATATCTTTTTACAAGTGGCAAGCGAAGTAGAGGTGATTATGCAGGTGATACATTCAGTAACTATATTAAAATGATAGTGTCATGGTCGTATGGAGTGATGAGTGCACATGACGAGCGTCGAGCCTTGGCCCTACTGGCATCACATTTTTTCAATCATATTCAAACACCAAACACACACACAAACACACACACACACACACACACACACACACACACACTAAGATCTTCTATCTGTATGCGCACTGTCTGACAACATTAATCCCAAATGCCTTACAGTTCAAGGCCTACAAAATGATATGTTTATCCCATGAAGATCGCATGAATAATGCTATTAGTTTGTCTTTGCATGCACACATGTGTTGGTGTGTGATTGACAGAGAAAGTAATGGAGAAAAACAGGGAATAAGAGGTAAACAGGGATAGTCTATGACCGACCTTGTTATCATTGCTTAACACAAAGCCTCTTCTCCCATGGCAAACACAAGCCCATTGAATCCATCCAGACAGTAATGAGAAGTCTTTGCACAACAATAGGCTGGATCTGTTTATCAGCCAAGTGGACAACCAAACCCCTTCATGGGAATTCAATCACTAAACCCTATTCTGTTTTTATCGGCAATTAATCTTCTTTGAAGGCCTCAGACTCAGATTGGACAAACAATGATATACAGCGCCGTACAATGTGTGGCCACACTGGGAGAAACCACACAGAAGTAGCCTCAAAGAACAACAAAGGCATGTGTGTAGTCGAACAAGAAAAAGTACATAGTGGGAAAATGAGATAGAGAGAGGACTGACAGCGTTGAGAAAAACAGACGGCTGCACTGCTCCACTGTGCGTATCATTTCTTCGGCTCAAGAAGCGGCAAATAAACAGCCGTCTTGTTTTTGGCTCCAACACCTGTGTTATTTCTGCATCGACAGCAGCAGTGGCGGCAAATGGCTTGTGAATAGAAGTGGAAGTTCTCCTTTTGTCCTCAGACTACCGACAAAAATATTGTTAATGTGGGATTCCTTTTCAGATAAAGAGAATTGCTGCCAAGTGTAATAAGACCTTGCAATGGAGCCAATAAAAGCGCACATTAACCTGAGTAGTCTCACAAGGATACTGTTGGTGCTTTCATAACACAGTATTCATGACATTTTGGGTTGTAAAGGGATTTAATGTTTATTGTTGTAAAATCAATGTGTCATTTATAATATATTCCTGACACATTGTAATAACATGCATTTTAACTTTGAGTCTGGCATTCCTTTAAAGAGGCCCTGTTATTCATGTTGGGGTTTTTCCCTCCTCCCCCCCTTTCCTGAAGAGCCTCAATTGGACTCCTTTGTTTACTTACGTAACATAGTGACATCACTATGTTAAACTCACGCCTCTTTTAGCTATAGCTCCAACACATTGTACATGACAGGCTATACATCTCTAAGCGGTGGACCAATCATAACGGTGCCAGCCAGTTAACCAATCGGAGCAGACTGGTCAGAGAGTGAAAATAGGTGCTGCTTTTTGGCAGTATGAGAGAAATAAAGACCTTTTAGAACTTTAAAGCATGGAAATATTAGAGTACAGGCATAAAATACAAATATGAACCTGAAAAGGGGACATATTATGCTCATTTTCAGTTGAATTCTTTTTTTATACTTTCTTTCTCACAAAGTCCCGTCTGCTCTAATTGGCTAGGTAGTTTTCAAGACTGAAGTTGAGATTCCCGAGGCGATGTAACATACGTATATGCCAGACTGTAAGAACGGGAGCCTAATTGGAATTGCTTTGTTAATTCTGATTTGCAAAAGTATCTCCCAAAGCATTAGAAAAGTGAGATGTTCCTTATATATTACCCTTAAGATATCTACTGTTTTCTGAGCCCTGTAGATGGTTTCTGGTTTGGGAACACACAGAGTCATGAGTGAGTTTACAAGTATATAAATCAATAATATTGATTTTCTAAGCTCAGCCATCTTTCCGTTCTCTCCATATCTCCAGGAGGAATTTGTTTATGAATATAGTTACTCTGAGTATTTTAACATAAAAAAGTTTGATTATGTTAAATTGAAGCCCAAAAATGCAGCGGGTCCACCAGACCCACAAACACTGGCTGAGTAACAAAAATATGAACACCACACAAGGGTTAAATAATGGGTCAACATCTATTTACAGCCTTGTGTGGTGTTCATATTTTTGTTAGGGGGGTGTACAGTGGGTGGTCATTGAAAATGTGTTCTGATACATGTTCTTCACAGAAAATGAGCCAAGGCCATTGAGTGTGGGTTTGAAAAAATAATTTATCATATCATTTTTCTTTAGCTAATTAATGAAAACGGATCCCAAAGACCCGAATACCATACAAGGGTTAGATCAAGCCAAGACTAACTGTCCGAACAAATACATACAGACTCAAACTCAAACACACACACACACACACACAAAGTTAAAGGTGCTGGGTGTGCTGGGTGTGTCCACGTATACAGACACCGATGAACATACTGTCACACTCAAAGAAAAATAAATGTCGCAGGGTCTTTAATGCTACTAAACTCTGAAGTTTCTCAAATCAACTGCTTAACATAAATTAACATTTGCTAAATAAATGTAATGTTTTGCACTGTGGAAAAGTGATGCTGATGAATGATGCATGAGGATATGTAAATGAGCGCCATCCAGTTGGCAGCTGAAGTTGCTGTTTTTAGATTCACATCCCTCTGCACCTCCCTCTCTCTCTCTTTCTCATAGTTGTTCTCTGGGGGTTGGGGGCGTTTGTGCATGCTCGGACCCAAACAATGTGTGTTGGTGCTTCCATCCCATTTGTGTCCCTCACTCCTACAGTGTATTTTTAATTTACATGGAAAACTTGTTGTTCACACAATCGTACAATTGCCAGTGCAATGCAAATCACTATCCAGAAGGCATTTGTAGAAGTGTACTTCTTCCAGGCCCCTTAACTTTTCCCAACTTGCTTACAAAAGCTTGCTCATGCATATCCCAAAGGCCGCAGGGCTTTCAACACTGCAGTATAATCTGTTGGAAAAGACTGCAATTATATGCACTGTCTTTCCATCATGGAAAGTGCCAGGCTGCTTGGCAAATCAGTGAATGGCACTTTGGGTGTTGGTGTCCAAGAAGGTGTGAAAGTTGCGTTAAAAGGGAACTCTTTGTATTTATTTAATTTTTTGTATTGATATGCCGCCAATGCCCATGTGCTATTCACTATATTTATTTTATAGACTTTGTGTTCTTGTTTTGCAACTCCTTTTAAGAGCTTTCAAATGTGAATGAAAACAGAGACAAGCTGGCTGACGTGCTTCATTTAGCTGCAAACAGCTGTAATGTAGCTTAGTGTATAACTTGTTCGCAAATGTTTTCCTGTAAGTCCTACTTGTAAAATGGTTTCAAATGACAGTTTCCTTTTGGACCAGAGTGATTTTTCCATGTATTTTTCCATTCACAGCATTTCAATAACAAACATTGAAGGTATAACTTTTCAACACAAAAACAATTACTTTTTTTATAACAAAAAATCCCCTATAATCATAGCAAAGGTTATTTCGTTTATGCGGTTTTGTGGTTTTGGTAAACATTTTTCTGAATACCTCCATTCTAAAAAGGAGATATTCAGCCAAAATGTGGATACCTCTTGAAATAAAAATATCACAGGCACAAAATTGGAACAAATTATGACTCTTCATTGCCTAAGGATAGCTGCATCCCAGTGGTGGCACACAGTGAAGCATTCATACTCAGAGAGAAGAGCTTGTATCCATATTTTTTCATGGGGTCGCTTTGTCTAATAAAACTCCACAGAGGTCCAGAACCATTTCTGCGGCCACAAATGTCTTTCTATCCCAGTAAATGTTTTTCTTTTAGAAAATCCACGTTCTGCCAACTATTCCCTCTGCGCACCTCATTCGGAAACCCATTGATGCTTCTGACAGTTGCCCCCCTCCCCACACTACAAGTATACATGAACAAAAAATACATGCAACATATAATCAAAAAGTGTGCCACAAACATACTGCTGTTTGGCAGGGACTCGAACTCTGAGCTGCATGCAGGTGATGACTTTAATGTGTTCCCAGAGGATGAAACCTGCTGACTTTTAATTTGTCTAAGATTGTTTAGTAACAAAATACATTCAAAATGTATATCAGCTGTACTTTATGTTTAATGTTAACCATGAAAACTGAGAAAGCTTGCACAGGTGATATCTGCTCAACATCTTCAACTCAGACATTCAATGTGTTTAAAGAAATCACACTCACTCCTTGTCCGTCCCTTACTTAATCTACTATTTCCTTTCTGTCTCCCACTCTCCCTCTCTTTCCAGATTGCCATATAATTGTGATGATAAAGTAAACTGTAATGCCAGGATTCATGGAACTTTTCTAACACATTTTGAATTAGTCACCCTGCTTTCAGTTCTTCCTGAATTCCTTTAAATTAATTGTGTCTTCATCCCAGTTCATGCATGCACATGTCATACTACTCACCATAGAGACATTGTGTCTCCTCACACATACAATCACACATAATAACGTGTTCACTCTAATAAATTCCCTCGAGACTAGATTAACCAACCTATCGTCATTACGCTTCATTTAACAGATAATGTGAAGCACACACTTCATGTGCAGGAAGCTGTGGGCACAGACAAAGATGCATGAAATGTAATTAATTGTTTCTTTAGACAATACATTATGTTCCATTCATCCTTTATAATTGAGCTGCTCTCTAAACACACCAGGTGAGATTACTGACAGTTAATTGCTTTGAGTTTCCTCTCATCTCTCATTTGAATTCTCCTCTCTTCTCTCTTCTCTATTCTTTGATCTTCGCAGTCACCTGATTTTCTCTCTCTATGTATTCTGCGAAAAAAAACAAGAGGAGATTGAGCTTCAATAGAATTTCCATGGCAACAGATTTTCCATCATACCTCCAATCACTTTACTCTGGCAGTTTGTCCAGGGAGAGCTGGATATGATCTGCTTTAGACTTTGATCATGATCCCACTGATCATCCAATCAAAGTGAAATAATACTGTATGAGCTGACCTCTATCTCCATCATGCACTTGATTTGGATCATTAAGGTTTTTCTCTTTCTTTTTCAAACGCCGGACTCAGGTCTGTAGGTAGTTTGGCTTTGATACAGGATAGAAATCCTGTATCAAAGCCAGGCTGATGTTTTGTTGCTACTGCTTTACGGCTTGGAACGGCACTGTTTTTAATATGTTTGTCTTCATAATAGCCCAGCTTTTATTTGACTCACCTCCTGCTGTATGTCAGAGTCTCTGAAGTTGGTGGTTCATTTCTCAGGTCGCGGCGCTTGGGTTTCACAAAGCTTGCAGCCTTCTCTCAGAACATGAACTTGCACATAATTGAGACTACTGACATTTAATGTTGTTTCAAACCCTGAGTTTTTCCCCTTTCAGCCCAGAGATCCGCCAGGGTTCCATATTTTTTAGATTAAGGGAAGAAACAGTTTATTTTATTGATGGATATTACATTTGCTTTGTCCTAGGGCAGCTGTTCTCAAACTATGGTCTGCGGACCACTGGTCCGCGAGGGTACTGCAGGTGGACCACCTCACATGCAAACTGTAAAAATAAGTACATATATAAACGTAGTGTTAAAACGCAGATATTTGTTATTGTTAATTATGGACAACACTTCATTTCACCACTGGTTACCCATGGTTACGTGTGCACGTGCAAAACCATAAACATGGATTGGTGGCTAGCATCAGGTTCTCTGAAGAGAAAAGAGGTTAACGTTACCGTTAATGAAGATAATGAGTGAGTCGGAGGCATCTACAAGCCAGATTCCGCAGAAAAAAAGAAAGAAAGGGAAGATTGAGAGAAAATACAACGGGAACTACTTGTAACTGGGATTTACCTACACAGGCACTGAAGATGAGCCTTTGCCAGTATGCGTTCTGTGCTACGAGACACTGGCTAACGAGAGCCTAAAACCAGATAATCTTCGCCGTCAATCTTGGAATCTGGCACTACGTTTATATATGTACTTATTTTTCCGATTTGCGTATGAGGTGGTCCGCGAAAATCCTTGATAATAAAAAGTCGTCCGCAGTGGGGGGCATGTGGCGCAGTGGATAGAGCCTTGGTGTTGGGATCAGGGGGTCACAGGTTCAAACCCCATTGCAGTCAGCATGTCGTTGTTTCCCTGGGCAAGACAATTCACCCCAAATTGCTCCTGTGGGGATTGCCCACAGTATTGAGTATGTAAGTCGCTTTGGATAAAAGCCTCTAACAAGTGACATGTAATAAACAAAAAGTTTGAGAACCGCTGCCCTAGGGGACTCCCTCCTACATTCAGGGCAGATAATTGTATCTTTCATAGAAATATCATGATATTTGCACTGTTGGCATTTACTGGATACAAGTAGATGATTCCATATTATGTAATTGCAATTTTCATCAGGTCAAAATGTACGTAGGATAGATGTTTGATTGTATTGTGTGCATTATTGTATTGTGTATCAACGCGTGGTATTATCATATGCAGCATTAATTATAACAAAGATTTCCAATAATGTCACACATCTACCAAATAAATGATGTGTCGTATTACCATCCATCCATCCATCTTCTCCCGCTTATCCGTGGTCGGGTCGCGGAGGTAGCAGTTCCAGCAGAGAGCCCCAAACTTTCTTTTCCCTGGCCACATCAACCAGCTCTGACTGGGGGATCCCAAGGCGCTCCCAGGCCAGCGAAGAGATATAATCCCTCCATCTGGTTCTAGGTCTACCCCTTGGTCTCTTCCCAGCTGGACGTGCCTGGAACACCTCCCTAGGGAGGCGCCCAGGTGGCATCCTAACTAGGTGCCCGAACCACCTCAACTGGCTCCTTTCGACGCGAAGGAGGAGCGGCTCAACTCCGAGTCCCTCCCTGATGACCGAACTTCTCACCTTATCCCTAAGGGAGACACCAGCCACCCTGCGGAGAAAACCCATCTCGGCCGCTTGTACCCGCGATCTCGTTCTTTCGGTCATGACCCATCCTTCATGACCATAGGTGAGGGTAGGAACGAAAATGGCGCGGTAGACAGAGAGCTTTGCCTTCTGGCTCAGCTCCCTTTTCGTCACAACGGTGCGGTAAAGCGACTGCAGTACCGNCTTCATAAAGATTTCTAAAATGTACCTGATTACAGCAGTTAAATCTGCATTTGTACTTTTGTTCTTTTATCTATTGACATTTTGATTTAAACTAATACAATAGCACACTAACATTAGCGACTATGGAACAATGTCGTGGAACGTTTTCTCCACTCCGCAAAGCAAAGGTTCATTTTGAGTTATTTTCCAGCTGAACCAACAGTTATGAAGATATACAAAAACCTTTGTGAACCATTTTGGGGAACATAGATTTGGTTTGTCTGAGTATTTACTCCTTTGAGTTTGCTTATATTCTTTGGACGTTGCCTTACTTTGACCCAAAGTAAATGTCACATTCCCTCTCAGCCTACCCTGTTTGCCAAGTGCCGAAAAATTACTATGCAGAATTATTTACATTTTGGCTCATACACGCTTCCAATTGTTCAGCTCATGCAGAGAAGCTTGAATGAAAGTACCGAAAACCAAGGTGAGTTTTTCTCCCTGCTGATTTTCAATAATTGAATGGGGAAGTTAATATAATTTACATTTTAAAGTTATTCAATCTAACCTTGACACTCACAATGATCAACATTTGGTTTGGTGAAGAGATTATACTGCAGTTGTGTTTATTTCTGCTCAATAGGCTAATTATAAAATTCCAGGATGTGTCATGATTTAATTTGTAAAGGTATTTACCACTAAAGAAACAAGAATCTCCTTTTTTGTATTCAGGTTTTAGGCTATATCAATTCACATTAGTATTTATACTCACTATAGAGGAAGAGACTGGCATTCTGGACGCCCAGTCGATTCGAGGCCACACAGGTATAGTTCCCATAATCCTCTTCAGTGACGTTGGCAATCATGAGAATAGTAGTCGTGCCAAGAATCTGGATATTAATGCCTTGGGCATTGGACAGCCTGGAGGGGAGAGACAAACAGCAGTGAGGACATTTCAAGTAAATTACAAATTAATGAAAATCAGAGGACTTAAGGCCAGATGGGAGTTGGTGACATTTTGGGCAAAATATTAGAGTCTGCAGTGTCTGTGCAAGGGAAGGAGCCGTGAGACTTCATTAGAGCTTAATTAACCAATAAAATATGCAGATATTTTTTCTACTTTGAATACACACTTTGAACTTAGAACAAAAATCCTGCAGGCTTAAAAATAAACGAGATGTCACAGCCACTGCAGTGTCTGTCCCTTGTGTTCTCCTCAAAGCAGCAACCTCCAGGTCTAAAAAGTGAAGCCAAAAGCAGGATCATTGTTATCCCGTAGAAAAGATTATTATGCTGGTGTATGTTTTCATGTCATTTCAGGAGTCTTAATGCCCGCCAAACTTCTGTCAACACTATTAACCTGGACGGAGCACCTGGCTACAATCAGCTAACAACCCACTGCCTAACCTTTCTAACCTTACTCTAACCCTACTCTAACCTTTCTCTAACCTTACTTGCAGAATGTTGTGTTTTTGTTACCTCACATAATGCTCGCTTGTTCCTTTGCTTCAGGAGTCCTCTTCTCTCGCCTGCCTGCTTGCCATCTCGTTCCCTCTGCTTCCTCTTCTGCTGCCCTGACCTGCCTCTCTCCACCCCCCCCCGCCGCCTCCTGCCGTTCTCCAGCCATTCACTCACCGAATTCATCTACTGCTTCAGTAACTCCTTCAATGAAACTTCACTCACTTCCTGCTCTGTGTTCATGTTTGGTTCCACCTAATAATGGGGAATTAGCCCTTCAGCAACAAAGCACTTTGTATGACCTGGCTGACATGGTTCAGCTGTTTTCTGACTGGGGTCTTACACCGTACGCACACATTAAATATATTTATTTGAATCTGTTAAAATCAGTTAATGACACTTTCATTGTGTCAACACATTTATTAGAATTTTTTATTGTAAACCTGATGTAGTTTATTACATTTGAATCTCACAGTTTCCGACAATACTGTGAAGTACACGTTTAAAATAGCTACATCAACGCTTACAGAAGACCTTTTACATTAAATCTATTTTTGTAACAATTTCAATTTTATATTAAATTATATTATTAACAGTAGTTTGACTTTAGTGCTAGCAATCACTTTGCAATAGCAGTGTCAGTGAACTATCTTAGAGTAGGCGTTGAGATTGTCAGAGAAACATCTTTCATTAAATTGTTGACATTTGATCCTCAACCTTTCAAATACTGTATGTGTTTAGCAAAGATGTTCTCTTAATATTGAGTTTGCAAAATTGTAACCGAGGAAACGTGTCGGTGTGGATATTAACAGTTTTATTTCTATAATGTTTATTGTTGCCATCAAAGAAACAGGATCACTTTTTTGATGAACGATTAGTATGCTGCCGAAGTCTTTTCATGCACTTTTAAGAGTCTTTATGACCACCAAACTTCTGCCAATTAATGATGTCCTCCTTGAACCCCTTTCAGCCCAAATTAATCAATAGAATGTGCTGACTCAGACGGTTTACCTCGTTGATGAACTGCTCCTTACACCATCATGGGCAAATAAAACTCTTTTAATAAGACGGTGCGTTTAATGGATTCTGCTTGTACTGGGCTGATTGAGGCCTTTCGTATCATGAAGGAGGTGAAGTTCATTTAAGGCGCATCAACTTAATCCTGCTTAAGTCTGGATAATGTAGTAATCGGAATTGGAGCGGGGGAGCTGGAAGTTTGTGCTGACACACACTTGGCTGATAGGAAGTATTAACATAAACAGCAAAATGCACATCATGGCACAGCATAATTTGGCTCAGTGGGGAGTTTGGACTTGATAAATGTGCTGAGGTCCTTTCCATAGGGACATCCTGGGGACGGTGTGTGTGTGTGTGTGTGTGTGTGTGTGTGTGTGTGTGTGTGTGTGTGTGTGTGTGTGTGTGTGTGTGTGTGTGTGTGTGTGTGTGAGAGAGCAACACAGCGAGAGCTAAGGAAGGGCAAGTGCAGCAGCAGTGTCTCCACTTCATCTTAAGGCAATCGCCCCTCCCACGATAAGGCCAGCTGCAGATATATTCTCCAGCCTGTCTTCATGAGAGGTGACTGAACTATTAAAAAGGTCTGGCTGCCCCCAGAGCATGCTGAAAGATCCAGATATTACACAGCACACACAGCGCTGAAAGCAAACACCTATTTTTACTCAAGATTACAGCGAATGATTGTAACGCAGCAGCCGGGGAATAAATCGCCCTGCACAGGTCAAACTCCTCTGTTTCCACAGTGAAGGTTGCAGGCTTGTTTGGTTTTCTTTGCACACATGCTGCAAGTTAAAATACCCAGGAGCAGAGAAGTGCAGTGGAAATAACAGGAAAATGGATCTCTGGCCATAAAAGTGTCTCTTTTTCGATTCTATTTTTTGAACTCATCATTCCTGAGACCCAATTTCAACTTTTAACGCGTTTGGCACACACATATCTGCAGCCGGCAACTTCTCTCAAACTTTGATATTATGTTTATCCTCAAATATGCCTGTGTCTCTGCCAGCTTCACCTGGCACAATAGACTGGAACACATTATCTATTCAAATTGGCAGACTCGTGCACTTCCAACTTTTTTGGAGTGATGTTTTCATCATAACTGTATCGATGTTGATGTTTATCCTCGCAGGCAGAGGGCAGCAGTGCTCTGGTGGATATCTCCAGTGATCACTTCTTGATGCGCGGAGTCACTTACATTAAACCCTAGATTGAAATGATTTGACCTCTCTATTTGGCAGGGGGCAGTGTGTGCGCAGAGCTGTTGTCGCAGGGCCGGTAGAGAAGAGAGACCAGAGCAAATCATAAGAAGGACAGATTTGATTCTGTAGCGTGTGGGAGCATCTAAAGTAGGTTATCACTGCCACAGAAAGTGACAGGCCTGTTATGATTCAAAGCCGATGATAAATGAAATCAAGTAGAAGCTCCTGCTGAGACTTGTCGCCCAGAGATGATTGAAAGTGGTTTGGTGTCTGTGACAGCTCTGTATCAGCTGACAAAACAACACACATATCTGTCTATCATGTGAGCTAACATCTCACGTAGGATTTTTCTCATGTTATAAACATGGCTGCACCAAGAGCAAGGGCAGCCTACGTCAAAAGATGCTTAAGTAGATAGAAAGGGCAGCATTCTACAAACACAATACCAAAGATTTAGGAACATACTGCATGAAACGGGACACTATTTTCTCTGGGATCCATCAGATTTGTAGCTTCTTCTTTAGGTTTACCAGTACAGAACCATTTGAAAGAAGATTGAAGGGGGAGGTAATTTACCGTTTGATCTTAATTCCTTGATGGACCAGCAGTGAGAAGAGACAAATTGAGCAGGTAGGGTCATGACAGCCAGGTATTAATACTTTTCTTTTATGAACTTCTGGCCAGCTTCATTCAGATTATGATGTATCAGTTTCCACTGCGGCTAATTGGGTGTCTAGCGCCACGGAGACTCTCAGATTAAGGTGAAGCCAGAGATGTTGTGAAGCAATGAATCATTTATTTTTAAGTGGATGAGTTACGCTTCATCAGCTGAGGACGTCCATGTTGTCTCGAGGATATTGAGACTGACAGAGGATGGATATTCTAAAGGTTTGGTGACTCAACACTTGTCACAGACGGAGAGAGAAGCAAGCTGTACAGCCCAGGATGTGTTCGATTGCTGCCAAGCATTTTGTTTGAGCTCTGGATTGTTTACTCCTTCAGTTTGGTTTGTTTGGGCAGGTGATAGCGATGCCTTTCAAACTTGGCACTAGATTACAAGAGCAAAAAAATGTGTGCTTCACTCCAAGAGAGCTGATGTGTAAATTGTTTGAAGCAACGACCAAGAGGAAAGTCTTGATGTAGGGTTTGATTTCAAATGTGTAGGGTTGTCACTAGGGCTGATCAATTAATCGTATTTTAACCGCAATTACGATTATGGCTTGCAACGATTACGAAAACAACGTAATCGAAATTAAACGAATATTTTTTTATTATTACTTTTTTTTTTTTAAATGATTTTTGTTTTGTTTTTGTTTTTCAGTTGAATTATACTTAAAGTTCAGGTTAATCAACTTTTTTCCAATGAATTGATGTTTTCAAAGTAAATGGATAATCGTTTTTAATAATCGTGATATCAATTATTGACCTAAATAATCGAGATTATGATTTTTTGCCATAATCAAGAAGCCCTAGTTGTCACACTATCAATATAAAATGAACATACTCTACTTGGTGTGTAGAACAGTTTTAATACTAATATACTTGCCAACATGAAAAAAACAAAATACATAATGGGGGATTGACACAATGACACTGTGCAGAGGGAAATCCTGCATCTGAAGGGTATGGGTAATTAAAAGCAACATGACAGTCTAGTTTGTTTTGCTATTAAAGAAAGGGATAAAAGAAGGATTAATTCAAGATGGTACCAAAGCTAATCAGGAAGCCTGTAGACAAATATAGAAATCATCAAAGTACAATGTGCGTGCTGAAATAATAAAAGAGGGGAAAATCCAAATACATCAGCTCTAAAGAAATTCCCTGTGTCCTCACTTCTCATGTGTGAGCACGGCGAGAAGAAAACGGTAAATTGTTTAGATTCCTTCACTGCCTACATGTGTGATAACCCATGCAGTTGTCAGGGTGTCCTTTGATAACCTGTGTGTTGATGAGGTTAAACTGATTAAAAGGGAACACATCGCAGGAGCAAGACCTCAACAGTCAGGTAAATAAGATACAACACGCTGCAATGCATTAGCTTCGATTCTCGGGAAGAGACTATGAAATTAACTAGCCAAGCAAGGATAAATGATATTATTATGCTGCATTAACAGCATCATCCAAGGAGAAAGTGCAATAACACTTTCCACTGGAGCAGCAGAAGAAGGGCGAGCTGTAAACAGGCGCATAGCCAAAATCCTCAAGGGGAAAAAACAACTGAGATAGATGGCAGTTGGAAACAACAGATAATGCAAAAATAATTCAACGACAATAAATCTTTCTTTGCAAGCAGTGGTGTGATAGGCCCATTACTTTAGAGGCCTGTATCTGTGATAACACTGCTGACATTCCTCCAATATTCTCCCCCTGATCTTCAGGAGACTTTCACTGCTGAAGTAAGTTGAGGAGTGAAATTGCAGATCATGATGCTCTCATGGGCAATTTCCTTATCATTGGCTGTTATTTCCCATTCATGCACCTCTGTTCACACCTGACTCAGGTGGCGAGTTTGCTGCAGAGGATACATTATTTTGGGTTACAAAATGATAAGGGATGAAATGGAGGGGCTGGGTTATCAATGTCTCTAAATCTCATTACAGTCTTCAAGAGTGTTCCAGACACATGCATGGCACTTAAATGGTCCACTTCCCAATGAACAACTGTGTCTAGGCACACCATTTGTGATATATCAGGAGACAACGAGGGGAGGCTGATTTCCAATTCAGTTGAATTACCTTTGGTACGAGAAAAGGGTTATGGCAATTTTCAGTGACTCCAGTATAAAAATCTTGTGAAAATGTTCATATAATTCTCTTCTCAGAAACAGAATCACAGATTCCACTGCTGTCTCATGCAGTTATGTTTAATTAGCAATGGAATAACAGCGTAGCGAGTGATTAAGTGGGTGATTATTCATTATCAAACCACACAGATGATCTCATCAAATTATCATAGGGATGTGACAAAGGGACCATTGGGAAGACAGATTTGCCAAAGGGATCAAAGCGATCCATTAAAAACAACCGAGTAGAATGATACGGAGCGTGGCCTGGCACATACAGTATATATATATTATAAAGTGATGACATCATTTGGGAGATGAGGAGAAAAGTACTCTATTCAACGTTTAGTTAGCATCTGGACCCAGGCCATGTATGTTTTATACTATACAGTATATTAATCACCAAATACTTGCAAAGGGAACAATGCTGAATACAGTTTTTGATTTAGAAAGCCATTCATTGTGCTCACAGCATCCTCTTACGTCATGGTCATGCCTAACATTCTGGTTATTTAGCCTAATTTTTTTAATCTGTAACGAAAGCATGTTCATCGCTCAATGTAATGGCCATAGAATGATGTTGTCATTTAAATTGGTTCACTACAAGCCTCGCTTTCACCAAGAAAACATGCTGTGTGTTTTTGTTTTCATGCTAATCAGATCTTGACAAGTCCCACACTGTTAAATAAAGTATTTAGATATGACCATGTATCATGCATGCAGCCCTGTGTTCATAATGATTACATTGATGTGGGGTGTTCGAAGGTGTGTAAAGTTTTACCTTTTTTCGTCTCTGTACCATTCGAATTCTGGCGTGGGCACAGCCGTGGCGTCACATTGCAGCGTCCCCATGCGACCCACTGGAGTCTCTGAGCTCTGGGTTTTCTTTATTGTTGGAGGGTCTGCAGAGTCACACAAAGTTGGGTTTCATTTTAAAACCAATATTAACATCATGTTCCCACATCAACTTCCATTTTCTGTACCTTCTCACCATTTACATTTCCAGTAAATACACTGGAGTTGTTGTAAATAAGATTAATATGACTTAAAACACAGTTCTTTAAGCGTTGATGATCTGTTAACTGATCAGTTTTCTTGCCAGCGGATCTCAAAGAGACAACACTCAACAGCAACTCACTGTGCCCTCACTTTTGGATTCATGTCATCTGGGTGTTTAAACTTTAATCAAAGTTATTCACAGCTCCTAGAAACGTAATATCTTCCCTTGTAAAACTCCCACATTATTCGAGGAGCTAGGAAGTTTCCTTCTTCTAAAATGCATTTCAATGAGACGTGATTACAGCATTTTCTGTTTCCTTCAATTCCTGCAGATTTAATTAAAAGTCCCAGTCAAACAGTTGTAACGGCACATTTTGTCATTTGTTTATTTTCTCTCCGCATCAGAGCCCAGAGAAAAGTTGGAAAAGTTCAATCTGCCTGCACATTTTTATTTTGTATTTTCATGTCATAGGTCTTAAAATCATATAAAAAAAAGACATCTACTTCAGATGCCTGTTAGATGCCAACAGTGCAAATCTCACTGTATTAATTAATATTACAATCTAGAATGTTCATCAACGATATTTTAATGTAAAGTTACAATTTTAGAATGTTATATAATTAACATAATTGTTGATGATTTATATAAACACTAAAAAAGAACAACCATAAATAAGTCTGATGTGGATATATATCTGTTTTACATTTAGGATGAAATATAAAATATGGTTTCACATACATCTATATAATTTTTTCAGGAACAAATTGGGCAGCAAGGCAGACGTGATTTGTTCGGATCAAAGAAAATTCTATATATTGGTTTGTATCTCATAAGGTGTTTATCAATCCAACGCATGCATTACACCCGTCAGATCTAACATGGACCCCTGACACGATGCAATTAGGTTATCTGGTTTTGAAAGGCTAAGTGTCTCTTGAATGATGAAGGTATGTGAGAATCACCATAAGTTGCAATCAAAGCTTGAGATCTTTTCCCTTCAACTTACATTCATCTTGAGAAGAGTGAAGGGTGCTCCAAAACTTTCAAGATAGAGCCATCACCTCTCTGCCACACTCTACTCCCCATCTTTTCATTGAATAAATCCAGCTTTGATTTCAATATGGTTTTATCTGTTAAGTTTATCATCTTGTGAAAATTCCGACATGAAACGTGGAGAGCATAATAATCATTGTTCGGTATTGACAACAGAAATCGATGCAGTGTGTGCGGTTACTTACAGCTGACAACCACATTGACGTATTTGACATCAGGTGTGGCAACGTCATTGCTGGCCTTGCATTCATAACGACCCGCTTGGTTTCGCATGATACCTATAATGTCCAGGTATTCTTCTCCATCCAATGGCTCTGCTGCAGAGGGTTGGGAAGAGAAGAGAAGAAGGGTTAGAGAGAGACAAAAGGAAGAGGAAAACAGTTGGTAAAAAGGAGAGAGGAAAGGAAAGGAAGTGGGATAAAGACAAATTGACAAAAATGTCCTTATATTTATCCCACTGACTCTTAACCACCATTATCTATTACTTGAAATATCAGCGCACAGCAACATTTCCTAATTCTAATCACTAAGCAGTATACATGAGAATACTCTGCTGTATGTTCTATGTTTATTAAGAATTAGTTGTTCACATTTATCTTTCAGATGTTTTATATTTTGACAGATGTATGTTTAATATCACTCCTTCTGCTATAGAAACTGATCATTCATTTAATTGCATTCAGGAAATGAAGAATAAGAATATATGCTTTTCTATTTTTACCCCTTTTAAACTAGGCATGGCATCAGACGCTGTTCAACAAAGCAGTCGGTTTGAAAATGTCTGAAGCTTCTAAGCCCATTGAGTCTTTCTTTTAATTAAGGGCTAAATAAAAAAGGCAGCAATTTGAACTACAGCGTCCTTCCATACTCATATTACCCAAATTAATTCAAACTCACAGTCAGGTCATGCTGGGACTGAGACTGAATGACTTCAATAGCTCCAAAACTGAGAGCCCATTTAATATTCAACAATTTGTTAAGCTGACTTTTAAAAGTTGTTGATCTGAGAGTTTCAATTAACAGAGGTATCTGCAAATGTCAGACAAATCATCTGAACTGAATGGAAAAAAAAAACACAGAGACTATCAGACTAATTCTTTAATGAGCAATCCAGCTAATTAGCCATGTAAAGAACACAGCGTCTGGGTGTCTCATTAGGAAATACCTGCGACGACTATTAAAGATATATGAGTGAGCCAGGACTGGAAAATAGCATTATTTTTAGTTGCTGCCATATTTATTGCACTTCATCTCTTTGTTGCAACTGAAAGCCATGGTGGAAAGACCTTGAGATATCATTATTTGTAATACGACACATCATTTATTTGGTAGATGTGTGACATTATTGGAAATCTTTGTTATAATTAATGCTGCATATGATNCCTTTCAAGTATCGGTACACCGTGCAACACTAGTCAGGAGTCAGTGTCTACATGCGGCTCTTCAGTTCATATCGAATTTTATATGTGTGAGTTTGGGGGATAGACACTGACTCCTGACTAGTGTTGCACGGTGTACCGATACTTGAAAGGTACACCGCGATACCCTGCCGTTAAAAACGTTATGATTCCTCCGTTTCATTAGTATCGATACTTTAAGAATTACGGGGGAAAGTACTCCGGTGAGAATGCGCCGTTTTAATAAGAGCCGTGTGTGTTCAGCGCTCTGCTTCCACTCCCTGCACTGCAGCCGTGCCTGCAGTCCCGCCCCTCTCAAGCAGGCTCAAGTGCCCCCCTCTCTCGTGCACGCGCTAGCTGCTAGAGCATGTGAGAAAGCGAGAAGCATGGCTGCAAGTGGGAGTGCAACTGCCGCTGCGC